AGTGAAATAAGCCAGTCACAAAAGGACAAATATTGTGTGATGCCACTTATATGAGGTACCTAGAGTAGTCAGATTCATAGAGACAGAACATAGAGTGATGGTTGCCAGGGGCTGAGGGTAGGGGGAATGGGAGTTACTGCTGAATGGGTATAATTTCAGTTTGGGAAGATGAAAAAGTTCTGGAGATGGATACTGGTGATTGTTGCACAATAATGTGAATGTACTTAATGCCACTGAACGTTACACTTAAAAATGGTTAAAATGGTAAATTTTATGTTACATATATTTTAAGACACACATGCGCGTGCACGCGCGCCTTTGACTGGCCAAGATTTAAAATAACTTTTAGGCCCCTCTGCTTGCACCAGCAGGAAGTGGGCTGTGAAAGTTGCACATTCTCTAAGGAGGTCCTACTCCCCAAAGCCCATCTCAGATATGGCTCTGAAGCATAACCAATAAGCCAGAGGGCACAGCCAGGAGCCATGGAGAACAATGGACAAAGGAGTCCCTCCTAGAACAAGGAACGCCCCCAGCCCCAGGGGAGAGGGCTTTGACATGTCTGACCAGTGGGGATTCAGAACTGCTTTGGACCAGTGACTGTTGTATGTCTTCCATTCTTTCCTTTTCTCAATAGGAGTTTGTATTGAGGTTACCCACTTCTTGCTCCACCATTTGTGTTTGTGGGGTACAGATACTTGTTTTTTAGTTCATAAATCGTCATAAAGAACCCTATCGGAAGCTGATTCAGAGACTTGGAGCTGAATATAGTGACTGAATGGGATTTGAGGTTATCTCCCTTGGGAAGGGGTGAGTGTGTTTTCTCTGTGAGAAGAGCAGAAACAGGTATTTGGCTCAGAAAGATAGACTGAGGCAGACTGTGATACACAAATATCTGTGTTCTCTTCTTCCTAAACCCACAGCCAGTCTTTACTTCCTAGTAGGGTTGCCAGACTTGGCAAATAAAAATACAGGATGCCCAGTTAAATTTGAATTTCAGATAAACAAAGAAACATTTCCTAGTATAAATGTGTCCCATGAAATATTTGGAACATAATTATACTGAAAAAGTATTTGTCATTTACATGAAATTCAAATTTAACTGAGCATCCTGTATTTTATCTGGTAACCCTACTTCCCAATCTCCCTTGCAGTTAGATGTGCCATGTGACTGAGTTCTAACCAATGGTACGAAAGTGCTTCTTTTCCAGGCCTGGCCCCTTAAAACCTCTCTGAAAGCAGAGGACTCCGAGCATCTAGAGAAGGGCAGAGTCACAAAATGGAAGTAGCCTGGGTCCCAATGACTGAGTGGAACAGGCCTCCCTCCCCAAACCTGCACTAGACTACAAAGTAAACAAGAAAGAAACTTTTTTTATTAAGCCACTGAGTTTTGGGAGTTGTTTGTTATAGCAGCTAGCCTACCTTGAATAATAGCCCTAATCTCTAAATTCAATAGCTTTTCTCATCCTTTCCTTAACAGCATATGACCCTGGTAACCATTTCTTTCTTCTTGAAATTCTTCCCCTGATACTATTTGTTTCTAATGTTTTAATGATAATAATAATAATAATAAAATGGCTACCATTCCTGAAGTTCTTACTATGTGCCAGGTGCCGAGCTAGTGCTTTATCTAGTGTCTCGTTGAATCCTCATAACTACTCTGTGTGGTAGATGCTGTCATACTCGTTTTAGAGATGAGAATACAGGTTTAGAGTCGAGTCACTTGTCCAAGGTCTTACAGGCCCTCTCTCTCTACACATTTCCTTTTTTTTTTTTTCCCTCCCCAAAGCCCCAGTAGATAGTTGTATATCCTTCTAGTTGCTCTATCTGGGATGCCGCCTCAGCATGGCTTGATGAGCAATACGTAGGTCCACACCCAGGATCCGAACTGGTGAATCCTGGGCTGCCGAAGTGGAGCACGTGAACTTAACCACTATGCCACCTGGCCAGCCCCTCTACACATTTCCTTTTGACAATCCCATTCAATATCATGGCTGCTGTAATTATCATGTCTGTGTGGATGGTTCCCTGACCCCTCTCCTTGTCTCCAATTCCATATTTTGTGGCATCTGAATGTGCTGATGGCATTGTAAACTCAACTTGTCTAAAATGCAGCTCTTCCTTTGTTAGTACTGTTCTAAACACTTTTTATTTAATTCCCACAACAACCCTATGAGATAGATAATGTTATTCATATCTATGAGGTAGATAGTGTTATCTACATTTTACAGTTAAGAAAACTGAGGCTTAGAGATTCAGTATATGGCTCACATTTACAGAGCTGGTACACAGTAGAGCTGGGCTTGGGACTGATTCAAGGCCTAGATCTCAATAATGACAATTGCTGTGCTCTCCCTGTGCTGTTCCATTTCTTGTTCCTATACTCATTCTCTGCCCTTAACCTTTTTTTTTTTTGATGAGGAAGATTGGCTCTGAGCTAACACCTGTGCCAATCTTCCTCTATTTTGTATGTGGGATGCCGCCACAGCATGGCTTGATGAGTGATGTGTATGTCCACACCCAGGATTCGAACCGGTGAAGCCTGGACTGCCAAAGTGGAGTGAATGAACTTAATCACTAGGCCACCAGGCCAGCCCCTTTTCCCTTGACTTTCATATCCTACCTGTCTGTCCTTCAAAGTCCTTCAAATGGTTCTCAAGTGCCATTTCCCCATAAAGTTTTGTCAGGTATTCCAAGCCGGAAGGGATTGACATCTTGTATGAATTTACAGAGTACTTACTCTGTACCTCACCTTTTCCTAAACATACAAGTAAAACTTTAATTCATCCTCCTCATAAAAAGTTCAAGTAGAGAGATAGAGAGCAAGAAGTTTAACTATCCCTTCATTCTCCAGAATTTATCAGTTTCTATCTTGATTAATGTGTCTGTGTATCTGCTAGCAACTCTATTAGACAGTTATTTGAGGACAGGAGGCATAGCGAGTCATCTTTATTCCCCTAAAATAGGCATTAATCAACAATTGCTGAAAGAATCAATCAATTTCAAATCCCTTGAATCTGCACACACTACATTTTTAGATGAAGGTGAGAGGGTCTGTTCAAGAAAAGGGTCTTTTCCAGGGGGCCTGGTAAAGACATGTCAAACACTCCTTCTCCTCCCACCTTCATTAAAGAACAAAAAAGGATCTACTTCTAGGTATATGAAGCGTCTGTTTTTAGCTGGGTCTCAGAAGGAAATGACTTTTCTCTGAAATTGTAGACGCCCAACCCAGCTGCAGCATTGTTAGACCTCAGGGTAAACAGGAAGCTTCCTGCCTTGGGCCCTTCATGTCCCTCTCCCAGACTATTGAAGACTGTTAATAAGATGGTAAAAGGACAGCTGCTGGCCATAAAATCAGCCCATTCCTTAGATCCTTACCGAACAGCAACTAGATCCCCCCAAGGTCAGAGAGAAAAGTGTGTCCATCTCTAGGTTACACCAGGTCGGTCCACATAGCTGGGGCCCTCGGTTATCTCCTCTATGATCAACTGTAACCATAACAGTCTTTGCAGAATATCAGAGTGATTTAGTTTCTTGGTATTAGTTGAGAAGGTGAGATTTCCTTTTATAGGGTTTCTGGCCCTTGAAATCACTTGTTTCTGGGGGTGATGAGATTAGTATGAAGGTTAAGCTGAGAATGCCAGCGCAGTGAAATCCACCCTCCCCTGTGGAGTTTGAGTCACCTCCTCCAGTAGGGGAACAATCAGTCCTGATTATCCCCCAAAAAGAGGCAAAGAGGGGAATCCATGAGAGCAAAGAACTAGCGCTCCTACCTCTGCAATAAAGAGCTGAAACAGGACTGCAACTCTTCCTGCACACGAGGTGGAAGTCCCTGGGATCTGCAGCTGTTGGTGAGGAGGGAGGGGACAGTTTCTGCCAACTGGAGGGACACTAGGGCAGGGGTGATCATCTTTTGCCAAGAAGGGCACTCGGGTGTCTTGGCAGAAGGCAGAGGGCTGCCCCGATCTATGTGTACATTTTCAGAAGCATTTGACTCTGGATCAAATTCTCTCAGCTGTGCTAAAGCTGGGAGGATGGATGGGAAATGCCTATTGGCCAGGCTGACAGGAGGCTCCAACAGAGGGTGCTGGGGCTCAGCCAGGAGCTTCCCTTCAGCTGGCAAGTTTAGCTTTCTGTCATGGTCAGAGGGAGCGTGTCAAAATTCTACTTCTCAGGGCTCTCCAGACGCTGCTTATGATTACCCATCTATTTTGAAGTTTCTGCGTGTTGGAATTTTTGGCTCAAATGGGGAATGAGTGATGATGATGCAGAGCCTCTTACCTGGCTCAAAGAATGAGCAAAAATAGCTGAATGAGCCCATCACTACCTTTATAGTGATGGGCTCATAACCAAATGCGGGCCAGGAAGATACCATTTCATTCAACCTTGGACTCACCTACAATTTATCAATTCATGCTGCCAGGTTGGCTCCTCTGACCCATGTCTATCAATTAAGCAAGTACAGGCACCTGGGGGCGGCAGGAAACCAGTCTCCTCTGTGACCATTTAGCTGCCTGGCGCAGGTTTACTTGTGCAGGACAGGGAGCCTTATTTGCCAGATGTCACTGCTTTCCCTCATTCAAAGGAAAGGTCACTGAAGTTACTCCTCAGAGTTGCACCTGAAGAGGGGGACAGTTTCTTCTAAGTGCTGAAAGCAAGAGAACTGGATATTTTCTCTTAAAACCATGTGTTTGAGCCTCTATATAAGTGTTTAGACTGGGAAGATTCCATTGTTTAAGGCAGCTCTTAAGATCTTAGAGCAGAAAGGGACCTACAAGAGATTATACGGTTCATCTCCACCCCCCACCACCAGTAGGCTATCATTTCCCCTAGTTTCAGAAGAGGTAACTACGGCTCTGAAAACGCCCCCAAGGTCACACAGCTGGTAAGCCCAGTTTTACCAAGAGGACTAGAATCCAGGTCTCTTGCCTCCTCCTGCAATGTTCTTCTTACCATGACTTTTCCCTCCAAGTAATTTGTATTATTTTAAAAAAGGTAATTCATTGCATGTATAACCGAAAGTTGTTTAATTTGCATATCTTTGTAAGATTTTTCATATAAATAAATGAACAAATCATGAAAAAAATCATCAGAAACAATGTCCCATTTAGAAAAGATGGTCCCCCTTTACTTACTACTGCCGCCATACTGTTCAGGCCTCCGGCATCGTGTGTGGACTATGACCTACGAAATTTACATTTAAGTAATTTACATTTAAATTTATGTTTGGGTCAGTGGCAAGGTGAAGACTGTCTCTGCTATGCTTGGTTGATGAGACAACTCCAGGTGCACTTCAGACTTGGAATAAGATTTCTTCACGTACAGAGAAAATAGTTACTACTCTAAAATTTGCCACAGACAGGACCAGAAGGGGCTCTCTAGTGGCTCATACTTCTCCCATTCCTAACCAACCTCCAAAGAGAAAGAGAGAGGACAGACTAAGGATCCCAGGACAGGACAGGCAGGCCCAGTGTGTATTCGTACTTCCAGACCCCTGGTTAAGTCTGCTTCAAGCCTGTCCCCTGAGACTCCAGGTCATGTCCAAGGCAGGAAGTTGCAATGTAGGAGTAGTCCCAGGAGCCAGTAAGTCAGGAAGTAGCCTAGAATGCATCGTGTGACTAAAGAACAGGTTTTCCAGTTGTATAAAAGTCCCATGATATAATTTCTGGGGACCTTTTGTCCCGGTGGGGAGTCCGCTGCAAGAGGCTTCCAAGGCACAGTCTCTAGAGATCGCAGCAGCGGCTCTTGATCCTGAAGCAAGTGAGCTGGAAACCAGTACACAATAGGAGTGGAGGAGCCCAAAAACCTGGTGAGAACCTGGAAATCATAAAAGGAGGAAAATCCACACATTTATCGGAATGTCACTGCCTCAAACTGGACCAGCCTGGGGCTTCCCTGCTGCTGGGTGAACTATAGCCCCATGACTAGAAATGTATTATCCCGGAAAAGAAATGCAGCAGAGCTCAGGATCTGCCTTATAAAGCTGTGCGTGAACCCAGCCAGGTGACCTCAATGTTATAGATAAACACTGCTGCAGACTAATTACCACAACAATGGGCCAGTCAATACTAAAATCTTTATGGGGTCCAATTTTAGGCCAGGGCCTGGACTCTAAACTCTAGGCTGTCACGTGGGGCTTTGGGAACCTGAGGTGGTTCCCTCGTCCCATGAGGGTGGCAAAGCAGAGGGAACTGGGGCAAGGGATCCTGTGGTTCAATATGCTCCCTCCTCCGGGAGTTCAGAGGCAAGTCTCCAAATGGCGTCCCTCATCTAACCTGGAAACTTGAAGCTTTGCTGGCACTCACACTACTAGCTAATCCAGCTACAAACACGGAATGCTACTTCCTATTTCCCCTGTGCCTCTCACTCACACAGCTCAGAGAACTTTACAAACAGCCAACGTGCGCCTCCAAGAGGCAGAAACTGCTAAGGAGTGGCCAGATGGAGACAAAAAGACTCCCTCAGGGTTATGTTGAAACTGGGGCCATAGCTGGGAACAAAAAAATCGAATGTATGATTAAACCCTTCCCATCCCTCTCTATCCCCACCACCACCCAGAACATTGCACAAGATATCTCCTCCGACAATTGAGCACCTGCCAGAGCTCAGACTACCTCAAAAAGTCAACAAAGGAGATATTCTGAGTCTAACTGTATTAGGGGAAGGTCCCAGAGACATCCTCTGTGCTTGTTCCTATGTCTTAGTCAAATCAGGTCCTTTTAAAACTCTCCTATCTTTGCACATGCCCTTCCATTTGCCCAGAATGTTCCTCCTCTGCTTCTTAAATGAAATTCCTTCTTACTCTTCAGGACCCAGCCTAAATATGACGCCCTCCTCAGCTCCTTCAGTCAGTTAGCTACTTTTTCCCCTGTGCTTCCACGATACTTTCTCTCAAAACAGCAACTCCTCTTCCATCCCACTGTACTATAATTTTATCTGTTAAGTGTCTGTCTCCCCATTTCTTCCATGAGACCCACTAGGACAGCAATCTTATCTTACTCAGTTTACCCTCAGTGGTCTGACCCAGGGTCTGGCACAAAGAAAGCCCCCAACAGTTGTTGAATGAATAAATTAGGTACAGGTCACTCAAATGGGAGAAGTTAACTGTCTTCCCTGCCCCTGGCCAAGGGGTTTTGCCTGTATTCACACCTTATCCCAGCCAGGAACCCACCTCACCTGAACATGCATGCACAGACCGCCAAACAGCAGCAGCACTACGGCGTGCACCAGGTACACGAACACCCGAGGACTGAGGAATCCAGGATCAGGCTTGTCTAGGGTCTTATTGTTCTTGCTCCTTCGCATGCCAAGTGTAAGGCAGAGCCAAGGGTGAGTGGTCACATACGTCCAAGTTGCCCAGGCAACCAGTGTAGCCACTGGTGCAGCCAGCAGAAAATTGGGCAACTGCTTGAGCTCATAGTATCTCAAAAAGCCAACATTCCAGTAGATGTCCTGGATGTAGCTGTATATTAGGGGAATGTCCCAGGAGCACCAAGGCGGCTCATTTCCCTCTGTGGTCCGGTAGCCCTTGTCCACAGCTAACTGCACCAGGGGCTTAGGGATGGGGTGGGCTGGGCCTGGCAGACAGAACTGGGTATAGGCATAATACTGAAAGAGGGCAAAGGGAAAGCCAAGTGCGAGCACTGAAAGGAACACAGAGCCCATTAGCTTCAAGAGCTGTCTCAGAGGATTCAGCACCATGAAAGAAGAGAAAAAGCCTCGGCACTGAGAATGCACGAGGAAGCCCACGTTGACCAGTCCATTGGAGCGCACAGCAGTGGCAAAGGCAAAGAGGAGTCCACTAGTCCAGCTTCGGCCCCTTTCCAGCTGCCCCATGGCACTGAACGTCAGGAGGGCAAACAAAGCTTCTGAGTAACCAGCTGCCAGGAAGACATTGGCGGGGCTGAGACAGAAAAGCAGCGCTCCATAAAAGGCCTGGTGGGGACAGTGCAAAACCAGACAGCCCAGGTCATGAAGTGCGACTGCAGCCAGCACGGAGAACAAGGAATTGAGCAATGCTACTGAGATTAACAGGCAACTCCGCAGGCTCAGTAACCCCCACAGAGGGCTCAGCAGTTCAGTCCCCACCAACAGGGCCAGGGGGAAACCAGGGAAGAACGCAAAGTTGTGCTCATACAGGTAGCCGTGCTCAGCAATGAACAGGAAGTGCTCAGCATCCCAGTGCGACAGGCCACCCAAGAGACCCTCCACAAGTTGGTCCACAGAGCCTGAGGGGGTGAGGCGAGGAGGAGAGAAGGCTTCTGCATGGTGATCTGGGATGATGGCATTGAAGAGAGCCTGTGGGATGAAAGAAAACCAGGATTTTGGTTGACCAACTTGAAGAAAAGAACTACCATTCAGGGCTGGCCCCGTGGCTTAGCAGTTAAGTGCGCGCGCTCCGCTGCTGGCGGCCCGGGTTCGGATCCCGGGCACGCACCGACGCACTGCTTCTCCGCCCATGCTGAGGCCACGTCCCACATACAGCAACTAGAAGGATGTGCAGCTATGACATACAACTATCTACTGGGGCTTTGGGGGAAAAAATAAATAAATAAAATTAAAAAAAAAAAAGAATTACCGTTCAATAAAATGAGGAAAAACAGACTTGTTGGGGGAGAATCAGGAGTTCAGTTTTAGACTAGTTAAGTTTGAGTTGGACATTCCAGTGCAGAGGTCAACAAGGCAGTGAGATATATGTCTGTGGGTCAGGAGAGCCATGAGGGCTGGAGATATAAATCTGGGAGTCATAAGTGCATGGGCGGTATTTAAAGGCATGAGACTGAATGAGATCACCTAGGGAGGAAGTGCAGGTAGAGAAAAAAGGAGATCTGAGGACTGGGCCCTGGGCACATCAACATTTAGAGACTTGAAAGAGGGTAAGGATCCAGCCACAAAGATAAAGAAGAACAAGTCAGTGAGGTAGGGGGAAAACCAGGAGAGCATGGTATCTTAGAACCAAGTCAAGCAAGGGAATGACTGACTCTGTTAAATGCTGCTGATAGGAAAAGTAAGATGGGACTGAAAACTGACCACTGGATTTAGCAATGTGAAGGTCACTGGTGACTTTGACAAGAGCTATTTCAGTGGAGTGGAGGAGAGAGAAGCCTGCCTAGATTGGGTTCAGCAGAGAAGGGGAGAAGGGAGACAGTGCATACAAACAACTATTTGGAGGAGTTTTGATATAAAGGGGAGGACAGAAATGGGATAGTAGGTGAATGACAATGTGGGGTCAAGAGAAATCTTGTTCTTTTTTAAGGTGGGAAATAAAAGTTTGTTTGCCAATGGGAATAATCCAGTGGAAAGGAAACAACTGAGTATGCAGGAGAGGGAGGGGAGAATTGCTGGAGCAGGCAAAAGAGGATGGAATCTGCTACTCAGGTGGAGGAGCTCACCTTAGAGAGGAGGACAGACATCTCATCCAGCTGTTAGTAGGGAAGGCACAGAGGTGCAGATGCAGGTATGCCAATGGATGTGGTAGGAGCACAAAGAATGTCGCTTCTGATTGCTTCTATTTTTCTGAGTTTTCACTCAGGAAAGCAAATTGGGGAAAAGGTGTTAAGACTTGAGCAAAGAGGAAAATATGTAAAATAAGTCATCAATGACCCTCATTCTCAAAATAGGCTGTGCACTGGAATCATCCAAGGAGTTTCAAAAATACTAATGCCTGGGGGCGGCCCCGGGTCGTAGTGGTTAAGTTCAGCACACTCTGCTTCAGCGGCCTGGGTTCGCGGGTTTGGATCCTGGGCGTGGACCTACACCACTCGTTGGCCACACTGGCGGTGACCCACATACAAAGTAGAGGAAGACTGGCATAGATGTTAGCTCACAGCTAATCTTCCTCAAGAGAAAAAAAAGAAAAACTAATGCCTGGGCCCTCCCCCAGAGTCAATGATTTAACTGGTATGGGGTACAGCCTGGGCGATGAGATGTTTTTTCTAAGCTCCCCCAGGTGATTCTGATGTGCAGGAAAACTTGAGAGAATCAGAGGGTGAACGGGCTAGGGGAATACACTAAGATTGCCAGGTAGCACTAAGGACTTACTTGGGTTAGTGATCTGGAATAAAAAGAACTAGTTAGTACAGTTGTGTGTTTTTCCCTGGGCAGATGCAGGTGTGGAGTAGGCAGAGACTGAATTTAACTAAGGTTGGGCTTTTGTCTTGTAAAAATAAGACATAGGGAGAAGGGAGCAAGCGAGTTGTGCGTGCATGCACGGTGGACCATAGAATCTAAGCTCAGTAAGGAGGGGAGTTGAAGCCAGGAGGTGGGTGAGGGACAGTGAAACGGTGGTAGAATCAATGGATTTTAAGTCCTGAGGGGAGGGAAGAGCTGTTAGAGCTGGGGTACTAGAGGGAGTGAGCTGGAAAGATGGGAGATAGTGGTCAGATGTATCATCTTTATTAATATTGAAACCACCAAGAAATCAACAGTAGTGCTGGAAAGAGCAACAGTGAATCAGGAGCTAAAACCTTCAAGGAATGAGCTGTCATTAACAGAGATGACAGCAACAACGAAGGGTAACTGGGGATATAACCTGATGGCATGAGCTTTAAAGCTGGAAGGGGTGGGAGGATAATGAAATAGCATTATTGTTAAATGTCTTTTTGCCCCATTAGATTGTCAGCTACTTAAGCGAAAAGAGATCATGACTTTTTTTTTTTTTTAGTGAGGAAGATCAGCCCTGAGCTAACATCCATGCCAATCCTCTTTTTGCTGAGGAAGACTGGCCCTGGGCTAAGATCTGTGCCCATCTTCCTCCACTTTATATGGGACGCCGCCACAGCATGGCCTGACAAGCGGTGCGTCGGTGCACGCCCAGGATCCGAACCCGGGCCGCCAGCAGCGGAGCGCACGCACTTAACCACTACACCACAGGGCCGGCCCTGGTCAGTTTCTTTATCATGCCACTTCAGACAGTGAAAACAAATGGGACAGGAGTGACAGTCACAGATAACAGCCCTAGTCTCCAAGTTGAAGATACTTTTTTTTTTTTTTTTAGATTTTATTTATTCAGTTTTTTCCCCCCAAAGCCCCAGTAGATAGTTGTATGTCATAGGTTCACATCCTTCTAGTTGCTGTACGTGGGACTCGGCCTCGCGTTGGACGGAGAAGTGGTGCCTTGGGGCGCTCCCGGGATCCGAACCCGGGCCGCCAGCATCAGAGCGCGCGCACTTAACTGAAGATACTTTTAACTAAACCTGGGACACAGCAGAGCCTGTGGTGCTTCCTATAGTGGGGGAGGAGAGGGGATAAGAGGTTTCCACAAAGGAACCAGCTATGGGCCTCAGAGAGAATGGTGCTTATGATAAAAGGTACACATAAGTATGCTCATATGACATCCCTAGGGTGTTGACATATATTCAACAATAACACATACTGAGGACCTACAAAGCACCGGGCACTGTGCTAGGCATCAGATATAATTCATATATATGTGAAGTTTGATTAAAATATGTATCAAGGGCAGCCTTTGAGGGGGAAGGGGGTTGCAAAAGGGCAAACTCATTGTGAGGGTCACGTGTGGGTGAGGCAGCGAGGCGAGATACCTGGGGGAAGAGTAGGAGACACTGCTGACTTAACAAATATACACAGATGGTCCCAGGACTGTGCCGCCTCTCTCCCACTCAACTGCCTGACCCAGTACTCAGTCTCCTGGTAAGGGGATCCAGGGCCATGCTCTGAGCTGTCACACTCTAAAGGCATCTCCAGTTACAGAACATCATGATCTGTTGGAAAGAGCACTAGCTCAGGAGTAAGGAAACCTGGGGTCTGATTCTGGCCCTTCTCTAACTCGCTATGTGACTTTAGGGAAGCCACTGAACCTTTCTGGGCCTCTGCTGCTCCATGTGTAAAACATGAGATTAACAGACCATGTCTCAGATTCCTGCCCACTTTTTGCTATGAAGTCTACAACTATATGGTTCAAACCACATGGAGGGGCACACCTGGGAGACGGAAAGGAGATGGGGACTATTCCTAGTGCCTTGCCCAGTCATGTGGCAAAGGGGTGTTTAGGACAAAGGATCAGAGACTGACCTGCAGCACCAGAGTGAGGACACGGCAGCTGATTGCAAACCTCAGCACCTCTTTCTGGGCTGGGTCCAGGGGCCACATCCTCCCACCACCAGGAATTCAGTGGTGGTGCTGCCAGGACTGAGCTCCCTCAGGCTTCTAAACTCCAAAACCCAAGGAGGAAATGTTACACATAGGCTGAAAGTAAATTCTTGAAAGCATTCTTCACAGGAGACGCCCCCTTTAGCATCAATATGGCAGTCTTAACCATCTAACTGCCCAGATGAGGGAAAAGCATTCTGAAGGCAGACCGGACCACTTGGTGTCACTCTGAAGCACTGTATTCTTGTCGGGAAAGTTCCACACAGATAGGCATGAAGCTGGAAAGCTAAGCTTGCAGAAAATCTTTAAAAGCCTGTTCAGTGCCCCTACGCAGGAACTAAAGACTTGGGTTCAAGTCGTGGCTCTGTCACTCACAAGTTCTCATGTAGCCCTTCGGCATCTCAGTTCTTAATGTATAAAATGGGATCAGATTACTTTGCCTGTCTCACAAAGTTGTCATGATGGTGAAATGGACTGAAGTGTGAGGAAGTACTACCAAATCTATATTGTGGTTGCTATTATTTGATGTGTGCCCTTTTCCTCTTGCCCAGAATAATAAACTAGGTGCCAAACCAGAGTCCCCAAAGTGGGGCATAGAACTGAACTGGAAGACCATAATGACTACACACTCCAGCTTAGCTCTCTGATGTGTGTTCAGCTGGTCTGTTAAATTAAGTGGAGAAGGAAAAGAAAACCACTACTCAGCAGGACTTCAGCCAGCTCACATTGCTAAAACAAACTTAGGGGGGAGATGGAGTCGACTACTAGAGATGGAGAAAACTGTTATTTTCCATCTCTTTGTTGGAATGGCAACAATGCATAAACAATTGCACAGCCATTCTGAGGCAAGGAATGCACTTTAAGGCTTTTTTTTCTTTACAATTTCTTGGGCTAAAAGAAGTAGCAAAGGCTCCTAGAGAATCAGTCTGGGAAATCAGAAGGGAAGGAAAGAGCATCAGAGGCAGCTCATCGATTTGGGGTGAAGAACTATCCCTTAAAAGAAAAAATATTTAAACTGAGAAATTAACAGGGAGGGCTGGAAGACTTTTCTTTTTTCTATTATCAGGCTAATTCCTACCAAATCTTTAGGTATCACTTGTCTCTGGAATTCTTCTCTGACCCTCACTAGGCTATGTGATATGCTCTCATTGCACTCTGCCTTGTCGTCTTTGTCGTTATTGCTTATTTAAGTTGCTTGTGAGGGCAGGAGCTGAGTCTGTCCTGCTCCCAACTATACCCCCAGGGCCTAGCATTACAAACAGGCATTTTAAGCTTGTGTTCTGATTGAGAGGAAGTGGCAAGAACAGGATATGGCCTCACGAGTTCATTGGCTCTGGATATAAAATCACTGCTCCAAGTATTCCTCCCACCACATCTCATGTCAAGAACAAGACGACAAAGTCACAGAAGCCACAGGAAAATTTCATTTCTCCAGAAAGGGAGCAAGATTGGCCAACAGCAACAGTACTCTTTCTTCAGCACAAGGGGGCGCCCCCTACTCACTCCAGCACCAGGAGGCCTGGAGGAAGGGAAGGGCCACTGACGCCACACCGGTTTGCTCATCAAAATTCAGTTCAAAGGCAAGCTTTTGAAAACCCCAGAGAGAGCAGCAGTAGTTTGTGAATCTACCCAACATTTCCAACATCTGACTCGCTGAATCGAGAATGGTCGAAACAGGCACAGCCAACCTCACACGCTGCTGGTTCTCTATCCTAGCGTGAATTCACTTTTTCCCTTCCTTCACTTCCCACCCACATGCAGAAGAGAAGTTGGGAACAGAAAAGCACTTAACCCACCTCTGCCTCTTCACCAGGCTTCCATTCTTCCTTTCCTCTCTCCAGAGTCAAGCTCTAGCCCCAGCGACCACAGGAGACTTGTAGCCTACAATTAGTTTACAGGTAAACTAAGTAAAAACAAAATAAAGCCAGTGAGTTCTTCCTCGTGGCTAATTGCGGGTCTCACTTCCCAACAACCCCTTTGCGAAATCACAGACTCTCGGAACTGGCAGAACACTTACAGAGCAACTGGTTTTACTCTGTTTTCCCGTGAGATAAATATGCCCCAGAGAGGTGAGTAATAAAAATCTCCATAGTTTTTACATCAGAGATCTCATTAGACCCTGTGAGGCCGGGATAATTACCATCGCCATTTTATGGATGTGGAAACTGAGGCTCACTGGGGTCAAGTGACACACTCAAGGCTTTATTTAAAGAGAATGTCGTTTTTTTGCTTCTATAACCTCATGATCTTCCCACCAGCCCTCATCCCGGTCAGAGCCAGGACTACAGCCCAGGTCTCCCGGTACTGGTCCAACGATGGCGCATGCTCTTGCTGAGTATGCTTAGGGCAGGGAGGGCCCTGAGAACACAGGGAAGCCTTGAACTGGAGCCCTGGATACTCTGGGTAAGATTAACACCCTCCGTGGGGTGGGGAAGTCGCTCTGATCCAGGCTCCTCAGGGCCAAAGGCCTCGCTGGCCGTCGCGAGCCCGGGGCCGCATTCTGCGAGCCCAGCCGGGTCCAAAGCCGTTCTAGCCCGCTCCTTTCGGACACAGTCCCAAGCGGGGATCGGGCATCTCCTCTCCCCAAAGGGGCCACAGCCCAGGGGCTACCCCCGACGGGGCCGGCGAGGCCCAGCCCAGCCCCACGGCCGGAAGGCAGGGAGGGCGGGAGGCTGTAAAGGAAGAGGCGGCACCGGGAGGCCGCTATGGCGGAGGGGCGGGGCTCCCCGCTTCTCGGCGGCCTCCGCCTCATTTCCCTCAGCCTCCGTTTGACAACTTCCCTCCCCCCCAGAACTCCAGGGATCCCAAGCTGGCACCGGGTCCCCAGCACCGGCCTGTCTCGACCTCCCAGGAGGGGCCCGAACCTCAGCTCCTCCATCCGGGGCCCCCGAAGCGCCCGCGCCTGCGCACTGGCTCCGCCGACGGCGGCCCCGCCCCGCTCCTGCCCGGATTGGGAGCTGCCCCACCCCCCGCCGCGGCGGCCATGTTGATTCCAGGCGAGAGAGGTGGGGATCGCGGAGCCCCACGACTCCGTGGACCTCCGCTTTGGCACCTTCCCGCTCTGGTGACACCTGAAGAGTTCTCTTTCGCACTTCCTGCTTCTCAGGCCGCCTCCCCCGCTTTCAGTTAATCTGCGGGGCTGCTGTCTCAGGGTCGGTGCTCTTGCCCCGGTTCCATCCCACCAGCACCCACTGAGTTTCTGACGTGTGCCGAGGCTCTCGGAGTTGGGGGCCTCCTCGCGGCCTCTGCACAGAAGCCGGAGCCGCACTTGCCCTGCTGCCAGGCAACAACAGCTCAGCACAGGGCACACAATAGTTGTTCTCTGAATAGAAAGAAAAGCCTTCTTGGGGTTTCTGTGGCCAGCGGCGGCACCCTGCGTCCTGGGTGTGAAGAAAGTGGGGGATCCCCCTGACTTTCCCCTCCTTCAGCTACCAGGGACCTTCTGTCCTACTTCAGTCCTCAACCCAGCTCAGGAGGCTAATGAGGATGGTGAAGGCACCTTCAGAGGACCCCCCCCCCCACCCCGGACTCCTTTCTTCTTCCTCATTCAAGCAGTTTCTCTCGTAGGAAGTGGGGCCAAAAAAGAAGAAGAAGAAGAAAAAAAGAAGCTAACTCAACAAAACCGTCTGTTAGGGAGGAGCGGCCAGTTGGTACCCCTGTAACGGAAACTGTTAGAACAACTTTGTACCCTCCTTAAAGGAAATAGATAATAAATCCTTCTCCGTTGGTGGATTTCTCGTTTCTCAGGATTCCAAAACCTTCTGCGGTTTCAGTTATCTGCCCTCCAAACGAAGCTAGGGACTGGGTTAGCCTCTGGCCACAGCCCTGGCGGAGGGAGGGGTTTATCTTCTGCAACAGCTACTACTGTGGGTGGGAACAAAGAGATGGTTGCTATCTCTCCAGGCAAAGAAAACTAGCCCACATCAGTTCTGTGGGGGCCAGGAACTGTATCTTTTCGTTCTTTATAACTCATTTCAGGCCCTGAGACCTAAACTGTCCTCAGGTATTTGTTGTGTGCAAGGTGGATAAAGTATAAATCACACTTGAGTGGTTGTGTGTTGGAGGAGAATGGAAAAAATGGAGTTTAGAAGACTCTTCCCCCAGCTTTTTCAGTGACACACACTTGTTCTCAGCTCCAGAGGCCTGTGAGTGAATCGGCAAAGCTGCAGTGCACACTCGTGACTGGGGCCTGAGGTGGTGGCTTGAATCTGCAGAAGTCTGTGAGGCTCCAAGCAGCACCCTGTTTGCAAAGATAAAACTGAGAAATGAACTGTCCTTCTTTTGTGAATTCACAAGGGAAAAAGACATGCATTCTTAAGGTTCCCTCTGTCTACACCAAATTCCCTCAAAAAGTCTATTTGTCACAAAGGGTCTCTTGTGACAAGTCAGAATGTTTTCTAAAAGTTCAACTGTCACCCTTCAGAGGTAGAACTTTGTCCAGATCCTCAGCTCTACTTTCCTGCAATTTCTCCTTCCTTTCTTTCTCTGCTACCCCCCCCCCCCTTCCGCTCTGTTTCCTGTTTCATTTTCTGGCTCCTGCTCCAACAGGAAAACAAGGAAGCTGAATCTTGTGCGCTCAAAGCCCTGGCTTGTCAGAATGGAAGACCACTAGGTGGGATGGGAGGGGGTTCTGGGCCCCCAAGGCTGTGAGTAAGTAGTGGAGGAGTCAGCTCGCTCCGGTCTGCTTTTCAAGTCTGCAGTTGAAATGGAGCCTGCGTCTACACAGGGAGCAGCTGAGCGACCAGCGCTGTGGAAGAGCCAGGGATACAGAGCTGTGTCCCAGGGCTCCAGAAAGACTCTATACCACCTAGCCACTTCCATTAAGAAGCAAATATCCCACACTACCAAGAAACAATTTCATAATACAAATCCCTGTCCTAAACAGTGCAAGCAATGCATCACTGTTTCTAGGATCCTAGAATGTCAGCAAGTTACAGCATTTCTGTTGCTTGAACTTGTCTGGTTCAGCCTTGCTGTTTCCTCTTCTTGAAACACTTCACTGCTAGACCACACTTTGGCCAGCTCACTACGCTACACTGGAATCTCAGCTGAAATGTTACCTCCTCAGAGAGCCTCTCCCTGGCTACCTAGCCACAACCACCACCTTGTACTATCCCATCACTGTGGGATATCCTTGTCACTACCTGGCTGTCCTGTCCGTGAATTTGACTCATTTTAGTGTCTGTTTTCTTCTTATGGAATGTAAGCTCTTATGAGAGCAGAGGCCTTGTTCACTTAAGTATTACTAGCACTTAAAACAATGCTTTGGGGGTCGGCCTGGTGGCGCAACAAAGTGCGCGCGCTTCGCTTTGGCAGCCTGGGGTTCACCAGTTTGGATCCTGGGTGCGCACGGATGCACCACTTATCAAGCCATGCTGTGGCGGTGTCCCATATAAAGTAGGGGAAGATGGGCACGGATGTTAGCCCAGGACCAATCTTCTTCAGCAAAAAAGAGGATTGGCATCAGATGTTAGCTCAGGGCTGATCTTCCTCACACACAAAAAAACAAAAAACAGTGCTTTGGACCGGCCCTGTGGCTTAGCGGTTAAGTGCGCACGCTCTACTGCTGGCGGCCGGGGTTCGGATCCCCGGGCGCGCGCCGACGCACCGCTTCTTCAGCCATGCTGAGGCCGCATCCCACATACAGCAACTAGAAGGATGTGCAGCTATGACATACAACTATCTACTGGGGCTTTGTGGGAAAAATAAATAAATAGAATTATAAAAAACAAAACAAACAAAAAAACAGTGCTTTGCACATTGTGTGTACTCAATAAAGATCTGGTGAATAAATCAATTTGTTTAACCTGATACCTATATTTTATGGATGAGGGAACTAAGGCTCAGAAAGGGGAAGTAACTGGCCTAAAGCTACACAGCTAGTGGCAGAGGTGGGACTTGAATTCAGGTTTCCAGCCTCTCAGGCTACTTTTTTCTTCCACTCCACACTATTTTAATCTTTCTCAGGTTTATCTCTTTCCCTCTCTTCCTTTTTTCCACTAAGAGTTTTTATGGGCTATGCCAAGAATCCTACATAGGGTACACCAAGTGTTAACAGCTCCTACCTACTCTTTCCTCCAGTAAATGCATATCTTACCTGTTTCATTTATTCAACAAAATAGAAGTGCCTACTATGTGACAAGGGATGAGGATGCAACACTGAGCAAAACAGACACAGTCCTTGTTCTCATGGAGATGATGATGATATTTACCTCATGGATTTTACAGTGGTTGGCATGAAGTGCTCAATAAAGAGGGCTGTTATAACTCCCTGAACAAAAAGGGGAGTGAGTGATTTTCCCACTGAAGATGTGGAGAAGGAAGTTTGGTAGCTCTCATGGAGCACTCTCCTCCCTAGAGCAACCTGACAACTCATTGCTCTCTGTAGTTGCCTTTTCTTGCTCATGCCGCCACATCTGGAGATGGTGTTGGCCCTTGGCTGGGCAGAGGAACAGCCCAGTGTATCTATTCTCAGTAGCTCAGTTTCCTGACACTAAACTTTCCATGGCCCCAAACTTATGGGAATGATGGAGTAGCCAATTCTGCCCTGGGATGTTGGCTTTGAGGCCATGCCATTATGGAATAAAAGTGACCACGCAGGCCTCTGTCACTGCCAACTGTTAGCAGGTAGGGCTAACGCTTGTGATGACAGGTAGTTGTGCCTTACCAGAACTTTATGCTACTTCTTTTTGCTCTGAAAAGGGCCCTCACTGGCAGTTTCCAAGGATGTTAGGTGACATTTACATCCATCCTGAAACCTGGGGTGGCACCAATCAGATCTTGGACATTTACCAAAAGTATCCTTTTTGGCCTCTGTCATATCACTTGAAGATGCCCATCCACCCCAGGACAAAGACCCTACCCTGCCTCCCAATTGCAGGAGCCAAACACTGATCCTTTAAAGGCCATGGACGTTAGATATTTTTCACCCTTGCTTCGATGTTTGCCTTTCAGTAGTTAGAAAACCTTGACCCTACTGAGAGGCCTAGTGGGAAGGGCCTTAGCCAGTGGGGGTGGCAGTGGCTGCATGGCAGAAGAGCCAATGAGGCTGAGAGTATTGTTTAGGCCAGACTTGGCTGCTCTCCAGCTTTGAAAGAAGGTTAAGGTCATTTGGGGGGTGGGGAAGGAGGAGCCTGGGAAAAGAACTGCTGGCCACACCCCTGGGTTCTCTACTGGCGAGGTTCTATTTACTTCTCAAAAGCAAATTACTCACAGCTCAGTGGCTCGCAGTTCTCTTGGACCTGTGGTAACTCCAGTCAGAAACTGGAGACCAGGCTAGGCTCCCCCTGCATTGCAGGAGAGCAGATGAAAGGAACCCAGGAAACCAAACTCCTAGGTAATGGTCCACACACAGCCCAGAAATGCATTTTCTAGACTAGAAAGTGGAGTTCATGAGGCCCGGAGCAAAAAGAGCCATTAGCAATATTGCTCACCAAAATATAGATATGAAAACCTTCCCATTTAGTTTTTTCCAGAAGAATCCTAGGAAGGCCTCTTGGTTGACAAAGTTTAGCCAATTGTCTTTATTTCCCCCTCTCTGAGAAATACTAATTATTCATTCCCGTCCTTACCCAAATATTAGCAACCACATTTAGTTTGATGAACACTTGATTGAAATTCTTGGGACAATTTTACCATGCTAAATACAACAAAAACAAATCTTGCCTGCTGAGCTCCACAGCTGGATCCAGTTACTCCTGGTTGTCCTTCGACCCAGGAAAGAGGTGCAATGAGGTGTATTAGGAAGAGCATGGGCCTTGGAGTCAGGACCTTGCTTGGTGTGTGAGCTCACACAAGCCACTTTCCACAACTGTAAATTGGGAGCCAGAATACTGACCTCACAGGCACAGGACTGTTGCAGGATTATTTGACCTACTACATCTGGTACACAAGTAGGTACTCAATAGAAAGCTATTGTTTCAAGCCCCCCCCCCCCCGTTTTTTTTTTTGGTGAGGAAGATTAGCCCTGAGCTAACATCTGTTGCCAATCCTCCTCTTTTTGTTGGGGAAGATTGGCCCTGGGCTAAAATCCGTGCCCATCTTCCTCTACTTTATATGTGGGATGCCTGCCACAGCATGGCTTGATAAGCAGTGCATAGGTCCACACCTGGGATCTGAACCTGTGAACCCTGGGCTGCCGAAGCGGAGCACGTGGACTTAACCACTACGCCACCGGGCTGGCCCCTGTCAATTTTCACTTCTAAGTGTCCACGATAATAGCATTTTCTGTTACTGTTTCTGGTTTCTCCATTATTTCCCATAGAAGGAGATGAACAGAGAAGCGATATATTCCACCCAACATTAGCCTTATAAAAGTAACTGCATCTGGCCAACATCTATGATTTCATTCAACAACTACTTATTAAGTGGCTACTATGTGCCAGCCTATGCTGTGGACAGGAATGTAGCAGTGAACAAAATAACGCCCCCTGCCCTCAGCTTATATTCCAGTCAAAGATGACAGCTAAGTACAGTATACAATAGGTCAGATGGTAACAAGTGCTAGCAAGAAAAATAAGGCAAAGGGAAATAAGGCAGGGAAGCAGACTGCTATTTTAAATAAGGTGACCAGGGCAAGATTCACTGATATTTGAGCAAAAACCTGAAGGAGATGAGGACTTGAGCCATGCGGTTACCTGGTCAGAGTATTCTGGACAAAGGG